AAATTAGATTATCAACGACCTCTATTGTCTGAAATGTAATAGAACTTTCTGTTCTCGTTAACTTTCCCAGCAATTTTAGTTTTTATTAAGAGATATCTATTATCATTGAAAAACAATACGTAATTTGGGCTCTGTACCGATGTTTCTCACTGCTGGGCTGTATCCTACAGCAATTATTTCGTCTTTCGTTATATTTAATCAACATAAATTCACTTGCCTATTCAGCCATTTATGTGTAAAGCAAATTACAGCGCCCTCCCAGGTCATGTCATTCTTTTTTTACAGAAAATTAAATGAAGCAAACGAATTCAATGTTTTAAGAAACAGGATAACAGTTCCCTTCCGGACACGACTACACTGAATGAGTTTACTTCGTGAAATAAACTGCGATTTTTAATGAACTTGATTCAGACGGTTTATGTTCGTTTTAAATTAGTTTCGCATGCGAATGCTGCCAAACAAAGCAGGACGGTTTTAAAGGAAGCAAACGATGTTGTGGATGGGGTAGGAGACAGCTCCGAAGTTAATTTCTATTGCCATCTGCGCATAACACAGACCTCTGACGAGGACAATACTCTGCGCGTTTATCTCAGTGGCACCGGATTTCAAGCTGCCCTGAGGTAGTTCACATATTCATTAGTTTCGAAGGGGAATCACTGCAGACTTTATTGGAAAAGGGAACGAGCTACTCCTGCCAAATCTTTACCTATTCACTGCCAACGATTTATTTCCAATACTGATTGTACATAACCTTCACAGTTCAAACACCGTAGATATATTCCCAGAAATCGGTCAATATAACGAACATGGTGTTCACCTACTGAAACTTGCTTTTCTATTACCTTTCGGTTCTGGGTTCGATAGCTCTCTTCAGTTCAGTCCGAGTCCTACACAAATGTGAGGTCTATGCATCGACCAACTTCTCCTGACAACAAATAAAAATATCTTGGGAACGTTCTACACTTGTAGGCTTTCCATCGCACAGGTTGTATAGAAAAAAGTTGACAGTTGCTCACTTAGACAATATCTCCCATAAATGTATAGAACCAGAATGTAGGTTGCAGCACTCGCCAAAACCAGCCTATTTCTACAGGGTCCATTTTAATATTATATTCCCACCTATGACTAGGTCTCCTACGTGAGCTTTTAATTTGACGGTTTTGGGCAAAGTATTGGGATGCATTTCTCACCTCTCCCTCATGCGCTAAATACTTGACAGTTTTATTTGGCGTTGATTTGAGCACCCTAATAATTAGGCGAATAGCATAAACATCTTCATTACGTAGTTTTGTCTATCCTCCTGTTAGGCCCAAATATTCTGCTCAACACTTAGTTATCAGATAAAATAACTGGTGTACAATAAAAGTGACAATTCAGAAGAGAATCAGTAAATAAAGCGGCATCACGCACTGCAGCAAAGGTTTGTTAAATAAATATAAACATGTCAAGGCAACAGCGATTTATCAAACCAACAACAGCACCGGAGAAGAGGACTAGATGTCACTGCTATTACCACATTTTGTAGACTCCTGGTAAATGTGTGAAAATGCGTTTGAATTCAAAGCGCTGCTGCACACGGGGAGAAATATTTCACTGCACAATGAAATACAATGCTTCAACATTACTTTTTATATAAGACATGGAAATTTATACAGAAGACAAATTACACTTTAGTGCCGAAAGAAATAAGATTTTCTATCCCCTTATCCCGTTCTGGGATATGATTAGCTAAGACAAATTAACCACTGGTAGCATCTGTTACATTACTTCGATATCGCGAGTTTGATAAATGGATCCTGCAGAGTGGCTGAGGCTTTCATGAAGGGCCAATTCGTATAAGTGAACCATTCACGGCGTCTCCATAGCAACCACGAACATTGTTCTAACGTCATATTCCGCAGAATTATATATATATGCTGTTCTTCCTAACACCTGGAAAATCTCAGGAGAACAAATACTTGAAAGTTCTACGCTTACATTGGGCGATAATATTAAAATGAATATTAACAAATTGGCTGTCAGGATGTAGAGTGAATATATTCGTAAATGGGTCGGATTAGTATCCGTTGACGTGTGCTACTTAAGTTAAGACTGATTAATTTCTAATGATATAACAAGAATTGATTCAGTGCGTTCAGAAAGTACCAAGAGATCAAAATGGGTCGTCGTGCTGTTGTGGCGGTGGTTCAGTGTAACATTTTAGAGATTTTCATGTTTGTATAAGCGAATGCTAAGTTATTGCCTTAAACAGGTTATAACTGCATTAAGAAAAATGTTCTCAGTATGTATGTACCATTTTGTTTTGTTATATACTACAACGCTCTGGCGTTAGATACGATGAACTGAGCCAGCTATGATATTAACTACAAATGCTTCATTCCTTAGAGATTAAAATTCGTCATTTCATTAAAATTTCAATTAAAAAGTAATACGATACCTTCGGCAGCAGAACCCCGACGTTCAACACTGCTAATGACATAGCAAGCCACTGGATTCGACTCAGAATCAGTGTCATTCATTTCCCGTTCTCAAAAATTACTTTCCTCATATACAACTTCCAGCTCTTCAAGTTCGTTTCCAAGATACTCACCCCCACCCCCGGCCACAGAATTTTGGAAACATAGTATGTTACCCCACCCGAACAATCCGCTCAAACAACAGGCGTATTCGAGATTTCAATATCGTAACAAGAGATGACCTGCAAAGTTTCTCGTTTTGGGACGCCCTAAAATGTTAACTGACATCCGCCTTAGGTGTAAATATTTTCTTCAACACTTCTCAAATACTGTCATTTGGTTCCTATTAGACATCAGACTACATATTTTTATGAAACCTGGAGTGAACGTCACTCCTGTAAAGGCTTTCTATCCACCAAATTCTTCGTTACCCTTCACTAATAGCTTTAACGCAGAATCTAGCCGTGGAAGGGATGCACCATTTCACTAAAACTAAACTACCCTTACTCCGAGATCAGCCCTTAACTTAGGGTTGAGGATATGATAATGTCCTACTTGGTCAGGGCTATCGCACACCCCCAGAAAGGACCATGAAAGTTCGTGTAGTTATGGATGTCCCATGATCGTAAATAAGAAATGCTATAGTTCGCGACTGTAATCTTGAGACTTGCGGGGTGAGGAAGTGGGCTGAAGGTGGAAGGAGGAAAGACAGCGTCTGCCTTTAACGCTACGGACTTCCTGCATTCCTTGCAAGTCTCAAGATTACAGTCGCGGACTGTAAGTAATATGGAAGTAAGTACTGTCAAGTAAACCGGTCTCTGGGCTGTGATTACAAAGGGTAGCTCTCGAGCACAGCTACGATAACCTGCTCTGTGTGGCTCTGCACAGTGCCAAGTCATTAAATGATGGATCTAAAGTACCGAAATATTAGCCGGAGAAAAGGAACAGAGAAGGTGTCTTTCCTACACATTCTGTTAAGCGTTTCAGAAAGGGTGGCATATTAATTTTAAAATATAGAATCTCTGTTATTGGCTGTTAATTAATGTGGAGGGTGTAAAAGTGATGGTGTTGGTGTTTGTTGTCTGGCGGCGAGCGGTAGATGGCAGTGACAGCATCATGATTACATTAGCCGGGCCTGTAACTAGGGTTCCATAATTGAGAATTCGCCAGTCGGAAAATGAGATTTCCGGAAGAGACGGAGAACAGGCCACGGCTCAGCCAGCCAACAGCACGTACGCGGATGGAAAGAACGAAAGAAGTGAGAACGAAAAAATCTAAGGTCTATGAAGGACTGCGTTCACAGAGAAACAAAAGGAAAAAGCAAACCAGGGAGAAAGAAACAACGATAAGCAAAACGTGAGAACGACATAAGGGAGTACAAAGCAAAATGAGAGCTGAAGGAACGTATCATGTACACTGAATGAAATAAAGGAAAATGAACGCGTTACAAGATATACAAAATAATCCTAAAAGACGGATAGTACAACTGTGTCAAAGAAAGAGACAGGAAGAGAGAGAAAAGAGTAAAAATTAGAAGGAAAAAATGCTCCATCGCACACAGTGAGACAGAAGAAGTGAAATGTTTTATAAAAATGGACGAGGTTCAGGGCTTTGTGTCGTGTGGAGCTTATTTATCACCGGATTTAATTAATCCGTTAACTAATACGCCTGACGGTAATGAGGCTAGCGAAGCCTGACGGCCTCACAAACTGCGCGCAACAACAAGAAACCAAACCGTGCAAGTGAAGAACACTTTGCGACACGGCTTGAGATTTCCGGTTCTCACAGCGGCGAGCATGTAAATGGCTGTCTTCTGAAATATTGCGCCGTGTAATCTGGTAGAAGTTTAACGACGTTTCTTAAGTTCTTACTGCCTCCATCATCAGGGTGTGGTCACTCGTCACCCTGATGATGGAGGCAGCAAACACCTCTGAAACGCCGGTAAACTCTTACCAGACGACACGGCGGAACATCATCATCATAATTCTTGTACCACGAAAAGTCTCAAGAGGCTCGCCCTGAGAGGACTCGAATTGGATACGTCTAGAACATGAAATAAAAATTTATTAATGTTACTGAGTATGTATTTTTCAGAGGGGAGCATTTACGTTGGACAACGGAATAGGAAACGATGGAAAACAGGTGATTTACACTTGTGGGTGTTTAAAGTTACGTGGACCCTCCACATAATTAGAACATATCAGGCCGACTAACAATTGGTAACGGTGGTATCAATCATCAGGGCTATTACGACCGACCACGACGCTTTTTACACACAATTTTTCTTACAGCGATACACCTCTGGTGCTTAAATTCCAGCGAACCTTCGACTAGTTTTACGAAAGAGTGAGATACGGCTAGCAGAAAAGATAAATTTGCCTGTGTCGTGAAGTTAAAAAGTTGAAAATGGAACCACGGTTCCGGAAAATTAGACGTAAATACGTCTATACGGAAAGGAAGTTTATATATTGGCTTTATTCTAAATATTTCCTTTATACATGCTTTACAATTGAGTAAAGTTTGATTAAGACATTGCTTATTTAACTTGAATTAGTTACGCTTAAGATGGGTCTGTGGCAGCTGAATGTAATGTAAAGTAATGTAATGTAATGAAATGTAATGTAAGGTAAGGTATTGTAATGAAATGTTTTATATGTAACAACAATGCCGAGTAAACAGATGACGTTTTCTAGGTAACATAATAATGCAAGTTACACTTTTTGCCGAATGACACTGACCCTAAAATATAGACGTATTTACGTCAAAAACCAGACGTACATTGGCCGCTTTATCCCCATCCATTGGATAGGAGTCTGGGTGTACCACAGAGCCAGTCTGGGCGTTGTGGCAATGAGACACATGTTTGCCCCTGCCGTAATGGGATTTCGGCAGCCTAGCTTGTTGCCAGGATGCACAGATGCAAGGATACTGAAAGTGAACGGGCAAGAGAGAGGGGACGGGGACGAGAAGTTCGGCCACCGAGCCCACGATCAGTAATCTTACAGTCTCCACGGATACGACAAATCAAACGCTTTAATATTATGAACTAAGACACATCGCATAAAAGTATTGGCTGTCCTGCTCAGAATTTTTCTTAAATTACACGTTACTGTGGAAGTATACCAAATGAAAATAAAATAAAACCCAGTATAGAAAGGCCCAATACGTGTATCGACATAGAAGTCGATTTCGAAACGACTTACTGCTGTTCACTCTGTAAGTTTGTAAACTCACGTTGTTCTCAGCCACGTTTAAATACACTGTTTACGCTATCTTGTATGGGTTTCATAACTTAAGACTACTAATTTCCTCACAAGTAACATAATGACCCGTCTGGCCAAAGACAAAGTTCCATTACCAAGTTAGAACATGCGCTGTATTAACTGAAAATATTACCTAGAGCTGAATGCGAATTTCGAACTGGCACATGAAAATGTAAACTGTGTCTAGGGTAATTTGAAACACGAGGATGAAATGTGCGGGGTTTGAGGCAGGTTAGAAAAATAAGGAAAGAAAGATGACGTAGGAGTCCTATGCGTAGATGATGAGATGATAATATTAAAACGGATCTTCGAGAAATAAGTGAGCGTGTCGTTATTAATAAATAAGCTCTGAACACAGACGAATGGCGAGCTTTTATGTACATGGTAATGAACACTCCGGTTTGGAGAGCCCCTTATTAGCTGAGGTCCTACGATATTTTCGCAGTTAACTCGCTTTAATGCACCCCCCCTTCCTTTATATTATCCTTGAATTTCTTCCCTTACAGAGTTCAATTCAAATTTTGAACCCTTCAGAGATCTAGCGGCCCTTGAATAAAGTTGAAGATTGCCTAAAAATCTCCGTGTCAATGAAAGCTCATATATCGCAAGCTTTTAACTGAGTGACAAGGCGACATGGAGAGTCAAAAAATTCAGTTACGAGTTACAGCAGAAAATCTGACAGCCATTTTATTGAAAGCGAGCAGCAACTTTATCGAATTCCCTTCAACTCGGAAATGAAACAAGAAAACATAACACTTCACCAAATATCACGTAACTGCGTTTCTGTTCTTCTAGTTTAAAGTCGGGACAAAAACAAAACATATTTCTTCAAAAAACAATAAATATTCCTAGAAAAATGGTTTATAATAGAAAAAGGGACGAAGAAATTCATTCTTAGTTTTCACAATGCCCATTCTTTTAAGTCAGATTAATATTCTTGTATTAAAAACGAGCGTTTTATTTATTTAATAACGATTATTTCTGATGATAAAGTGTATGCAATGCGTAGTAAGTGGACACGACGATGATTCTCATGTCAGGGTGATAAGTGACTTCATCACGCTTTCAATGGCGGACAGTTAGCAGATGTTAGAAAGTTTAACGTCGACTTACAAACTAACGAAACATGAAAGCGTCAATGCCACCAAGGGCCCAGTTTTACTCACGGTTCACGCGTTCCTCCTGCCTCATCCGAAGCTCCTGTTCTGGCATCAGGTGGACGCCGCTGGAACGTTGACGAAAATCACTGGCAAAGTTCATCACAGACACCAAACGCACCGACGCGATCACAAAGAAAATTGTCTATAACGTAACTAGTCACTTTGTGTAACACCACAACGGCAATGCGAGTTCACAATTGCATCATCGGAATTTACAAACATTAGGATCTTCAGGCCCTCCTTCACTGTTAACCTCCGATATGCCTATATGACGGCTTTATGCTCGGGGATGCAGTCTCATGGCGTGGGAAAATTTGACAAACGCAAACATTCCATACCATTCTTTACTGTCTGAATGCCTACCAGTGCCTCATCATTCGATACGTATTGTGAAGTATCATATAAAAACTATCCCTAACTCATCATCTTCACCGAGTCTCAGACCCCTGCAAGTTTTCGTCGAAACAATTTTTTTTCATCTCATTCTATCGTGCTTAGATTCCTAGCTACAGAAAAAGTCTTCCTTGGGATTCGAACCTATGAGAGTTTTCGGTGCTGTGACCTTTGTTACTGCTATTCCTTGCCGAAACAAAAAAATTGGTCTTGGCGTAGTTTTTCTATCGTGTTTAGTCTCCGAAATACAAAAACCATCACCGGGAATCGAAGCCAGGATAGTTTTCTTAGTTGTGGTCCTTGTTTCTGTATTATACGTTTTGAAACAGACAAATTATGGTTATAACGCCGTTCATCTGTCGTGCTTAATTTCATAGCTATAGGAACCGCCCTCACCGGGTATCAAACTCAGGACACTTCTGGAGTTTTGACTGTCCATTGTTCTCTTTCTGGCTTCAAAGAATGATAATTCCAAGTTTGGTGCATATCGGTGAATCGATTCTCGAGCTATAAGCTAACATACAAACATACCCACAATTTGCAAAAAGCTTATTCGTTTATGAACTATGTAAATTTGACAAAGAAATCGGTAAATGTACGTATTCTATATGCCTATGCATACGCATCGCCTGGTTCTATGGCAAAACAGCACAATGTGCCCGTCATACAACGTTCATTTACTTTCGCGTCATAAAATCAGTGCTTAATTAACCCGTTTACTATACAGCTGTAATACTAGTGAATAAAATGTAGAGCTTTTGACATTACTCTCACGTTTTCAACTCTGCAGAGAAAGCAACAGACAGATCGAAGTATCAGGAGACCAACTCGAGCAGTGAAATGGGGTAACTACTAAACCAGACGCCGGTCACAGAGGCCAGCGTAGTCTGGGGCGCGAGCCTTGATCTCTCAGACACTGGAACCCTGAGTCCCCCAATCCCACTCAAAGGCTGTGTTGTATAGGTAGAAAGCGCTTTGCGAAGAGCCGATCAATCGTGCAAGGAGTCCTATCAGATCTGTAAAAAGATTAAGGAAACACCCACGTGTGAGGAGACCAAGGTCCTTCAAGGACTGTAGAGCCACTAATAATAATTAAGCTCGACATGAAACTACTTATTATCCAAACAAGTTACCTTCCAGTAGCATCAAAATAATAACGTGTATTGCATTATGCTTTTCAGCGTAAATTTATGGTCATTTAAGTAATTTTTACATTATAAATTCGAAAGTAATATTATATTTATGGTCTAACTCGTCAGAGCTTATTTTATTTTAAATGAATATGTAATTAAAAGTGGAAAATGTCTAGTTAATAGTGAAGATATTTTTCATATGCTCAGATTCTGAACTGATTGGCCTTCAGACCTCCTTATTTAAAATCTTGAACCAATTCTTGAAAGATTCGGTATTATTTTTGCATATATTTTTATTCCGTATTGAGATACAACGGGGTTATATTTGACCTACACGATCAGATTTGTCATGTAAATCATTTGCCTCAGAATTCTGTCTAAATCAACTGAATAGTTTTCGATGTAAAAAATACAAACTAAAACTCATGACCTCCCTCTTATACGTTCAGATATGTAAGGACTATAAAAAAAACACGTTGCGTACCTGAATACCACCAACATGTTCTAAACGACGTATTAATAAATCAATAGTTCGTCGGTTATCAAAACCTAATAGACATTTTAAAACAAATTATATTCATGTATATTCCCCGCCATATTTTGACTAAGATACCAGTAAAATTTGGAACAACTTCACAATATGGAGGACATGTAATTATGAGCCTGCTACGTTTTTCTCTATGCTAGAGAGATCAGGTCATGGTGTAGTTACAATTAGTATGCTCATTGTCTGATGTTCAGAACAAAATACCTTTGGTAAAATGGATCTATTTCCGTTCTCATTTGGAAAACGTAATAGCTACTGGGGGGAGCTAACTCAAATACAATTGGTCACCATACTGAAGATATGTAGGGCCTACACAAAATTAAATTTAAAAATACTTCAGGCAGAACAAATTCCTAACAGTAATTCGTAAGAGAATTGATCATGAAACGAAATATGTTAGCTTCATAATTTAGTAGATGGAAGATGACCGCCATGTTCGGAAACTCAAGCCAACATAAAGTTCCTAGCAATTTCTACGGAAAACAGGAAAACACTTCTACACATAATATTGCTTATTCAACGATGTTTCAATGTTATTACTTCACAATACTATGTAAGGTAATCACGTTCACAAGTTAGTAAAACTATGCATATAATCTCCTTTCATTCCCACTAAGACTTGCTTTACATCGATAACATGCAGAACGAGTCGTTCTAATCACACGCATGTCCAACAAAAACAATCGAATAAATCCAACATCTTACCGATTACATTTAAGTATATAAAGTCATAGTATAAATAACTAGTAATGGGTTTTAATAATGTAACTTATAGTTGACGCAACCGGTTTTATCACACACTCACAAAAGTAACAACACAGAAAATCTCCACGCTAGCAAACCTACGTGGTACTCGCCGGAAGTAACGAATGCAGGTGTTCACCACGGATTACGCGTGGCTACTTGAATCAACTGAGCCTCCGTATTTCATATCGAAATCGAATTCTTTATTCTCACATTCTCTGCCGTCGTTGACGACATCTATTGACTATTCTTTTTAATGGATGGTTCCTAATTCCACCACGTGTAAATAACAGAGCGAAGTGGATCATGAATTACAACTGCTTGTATTGACACAGTAGCGACTGGGCGGACTGAGTTCTAATCCCAGTTGGAGCATTAGAGTATTTAATCTGCTTTTCTGACCTTGTAAAGATATAAAGGGGTGGAAATGATCAAACAGAAAAGTAAAGTATTAAAAATATATTAAAATTAGCCGTCAATCACAAATATAATATTATTAAAAGATTAAAATATCATTTTAACGTTCCCTATCGAGTACTCGATTTACATGTGGAACTTACACTACATGTTTCGGCTATATATAGCCATCAGGTGTTATGTATTTAAACTTATCACTGAATTACTGATTTTTTACTGATTTTAATGATTTTTTGTCTTTATTTTCATTAAAATCAGTAAAAAATCAGTAATTCAGTGATAAGTTTAAATACATAACACCTGATGGCTATATATAGCCGAAACATGTAGTGTAAGTTCCACATGTAAATCGAGTACTCGATAGGGAACGTTAAAATGATATTTTAATCTTTTAATAATATTATATTTGTGATTGACGGCTAATTTTAATATATTTTTAATACTATATAAATCACAATATGAAGCATCTACAATATCTTAGAAAAGTAAAGTTTGAAATGAAGGTAGACCAAAGAAGGAAAATAGAAGAAAATTAATAACAAAAGAAGAGCAAGAAGAAACTAAAATGGAGATAAATAGTAAAAAAAATGAAACTCCGTCAGAACTCTCGAAGAAAAAGTTTTTATAACGAATCTAAAGTAAAATACTGTTTTAAAATTGAGGCGAAACGGGCGTTGGATTACGTTGACCTTCCATTTCCTTGCCACGTGTTAAATCCTGGAGATATACTGCACTCAGCATCACCATGGAAACAACGGAAGTGCTTTGATAAACACCGCCTAAGGTTATGCTATTGTTTTGCTTCGAATACATTTCAGCCTTCACTCGCAACACACGCATATGCGTAGACAGAGATTTAGTGTCTCATGTACCTGATTTTATGTATGGAGACGGATATATTATATTAAGGAAATTGAGCCTTGTTCATGTTCCTCCAAAAGGATTGGAAGGCTTGACGGCCGTTTCGAGGTTCGGAGGCTTATTTGGTATTTCCATCTATAGTTTGATTTTCCTATGTCTCTTTTATTTGAAACTTAATCGATCTTGTCCCTTTGTGCCCTCTCCAAATTAGGTCTGATTAATTTTATACTAATTATATATGTGTTTGTAATCTGAACATTATTCCTTCATTAATACTCTGTCTTTTTGAACATTCTAATAGCAACAACCTAAGAAATCTACGTGGACTTCTTTTGTAATTTTCTCTCATGTAATTAATCGTTCGGTTTAAAAAATGAAGGCATTTCTTCACTACCTTAGTAACATGGTGTCAGTCGTGTTTCAATGAGATTCCCA